ATAACAAACTGTTTACAATATGTAGCAACTTTAACATATTCTTTACCAATTTTTATAAATCGAGTTCTTAGGTTTTCGTAATTGTTATACACAGGAAATGAAACTATTTTTCCGGATTTAAATCGCGCATATTTGTTTTCTTTTTATTTCCATAGATTTATTTATTACGGCGTTCCTTTGTGTGGAATTAATTGAGGATATCAGCGCCTTACATCATACAACCAACCGGACAGGACTTATACGGGTCTACCACTCTGCCAAAGTTGGTTTTATGCTCTAAGAGTACAGCGTTACTACATACTTTTCACGTATAAAACAAATTTAATATTTTTATACATGAAAATACATCCAAATATATGTACTTTAGCGTCATTTACAGTAAATTTGTAGAAAAAAATTGAATATGCGTTAGACCACTTTCGCCTCAATTATGAATATGAAGAAAATTGTATAAATAAAGACTTCTAAACAATGGATTTACTTTAATTCTAGATTGTATTCGTATTTCATGAAGACAGTTTGTGTTTCAACACTTAATTTATTAAAAATATTGTAGGACTCAATTCTGTTACTATCTTTATATTTTGTTCCACTTGTGAATAAAACCAACGCGTGCGTCACAAAAACACGCCATTGTTGTAAAATTGTTCCGCAAACTGCTTTTCTTTGTCATAACACGTATGTGATTCAGTGGATATTATCACAAGTCTCTTGCCACCACTTGCCAAATCTATATTCTAAATACAAATAAATGGTGGCAAAAAGAATTTCATGATATAATGCATTGACTTACAATTATAAAGTCAATGATATAATGGCAAAATCATAAGTGAAAAAAGTACTTGTAAATAACTTGAAATATATCCTTATCGTACTCAGCATTCATATGTCCCACTGCCGGGAACGGGTCTCTTCTAAAGAGAGGGCCGAGATTCTATAATTTATAACGGGACTATTCCCGTCGTTGCCCCGGTGAGGGTTGGGGACTCAATACGTTTTCCAAGGGCTGTGAACCTTCTTCGATATGCCATGTTTTCCTTCGCCGTTGTACTATAAAGACTCCTTTTTCAACTTTAAGTTATTATGTTCTGATCTTGTAGGTATCCTTATGCATTTTAAAATGAAAATAGAATGATTTCTTGTTTGAAGGGTCCGTTCCGTCCACAACCTCGACAATGTTGCAGATTTTATACAATACCAATATTACCCTACTATTTAGGTGAGGACCCTATTATCTATAAGGCAAGGACCCTATTGTTTACTAGTAAGGATCCTATTATCAATTAGGCGTGAACCTCATTGCCTACTAGGTGAAGATCCTATTATGTACTGGGTGAAAACCAAATTATCTACAAGAGGTAAGGACCTTTTTATTCCTTGACATTGAATGTTACGAGTTATGAAATAAATGATTTTCTTCTGTTGTATTATATACTACTAATTGACATTAACTCTGATGGCGATCTTCGCAGCCAGATATATCGTCGCTTAAATGCCAAACGGCCGGCCGCATGTCAAAAGTTCACTTTTTTACAGGAGAAGAGATCAAAGTTTTCGGACTCTATAAATTTGTAAACACAGACACAACTCACAAAAGGACTGTTCAGCTCAAAAGTTGGCCACAAAAGTGCAGAATGACAAAATATGTACTACTAAAGTTAGACCGTTTTTAAACACATTTTTGAATTTTAGAAATCATTTGTGATGCGGCGATTTAGCATTTAAGCGACGGTATATGTAGATGAAAACAAGGATCTATTAGGTGGTATACTCAAGAAATAATTATCATCGAATTCCATTTTGGTCACTATTACCTACTGTTTTACAAAATCAGTCTATAGATATGGCATTTTCTTTATTTGAGCCGTACGAGTGATCTAATTACTGGACCATACTTTTTATAAAGAATTTTTTTACTTATTAATTTTACAAACTTCAACACTGAGATTTTTGTATAAGTTGAAGCAACTTTTTTAAAAACATCATTCAAACCACATACACACATCTTATGCCATTATCATTTTGTTTAATTTAACGATCGACACGTCTGTGTATGTGAATACTACGTATATAGGTGAGTAGGTGTAAAAATAAAAATCTTAAATACCTGTAAAGAAAAAAATAATCTTTATTATTTTTATTTTTTTTTGTAGTAATTTTTCTCATATTTTTCTTTTATCTTTTTTTTAGTAAATGTATTTTACAGGGGCATTAGTCTAATAACTACACATTATATTAACAAGAGGGATCTTCTAAGGATATTTTTTAATATAACTAATTCTAATTAATTTTTTTTATAAACTTTTTCATATTATTTAACAAAAAAAAAGGAATCTTTCACGGTGGTATTCCAAGATGGTGGGACGAAATTACGATGAAATGAACGAAGCGTATTAAAGTGAAGACCAAGAATATTTTAAGTTTAACCACGCATAATAATATTATATAATTTAAAACATCATTTAATTTGGTCGCAGACGACAGCGGCAGTAACTTGCAACACTATAGCACGACTACTATTTGCTTAGATACCTGTAACCATGTGTTGTGTGATGCCTCGTCAGTTGACGGGCGGTGCGATAGATGCAAAGTAATTTTACAGTAAATAGTAAAGCCGCCTACCACCTACCGCGACAGTAAAAAACTCAACAACAAAAAACAAAATCGCCAATCTAGTTTACGTCGCACTGCTAGGCACGGACCTCTTCGAAAGACTTTAGACTGCCTCCGTGGCCGAACGGTTACCAAACTGGCCTGTCACGCAATGTCCCGGGTTCGATTCCCGGGCCGGGAGAAATATTTTGTATGGCCTACATTTATTACTCTCGTGAGTTTGGGTGTAATTTGTGGTTGTCTATGTGTGTCCATGTCACCCGCAATACAGATGATTTAAGGCCATAGTCCCCCGCGAGCCTCAATGATAGTTGGGTACTATAAGTTTTCCATATATTACGATGTTTTCCTTTGGCATTAGAGAAGAATATTGCTAGTAAATATTTACAAATGTACTTAACTTAAACATTGAAGTCATGGGTACATGCCGCCAAAGCGAGTCGAAACGTTGACCACTCAATAGAAAAGGAACCGCTCTTAGTAATAATTACGGCAACATTTAACACAATACGGAGCCCTACGAACTTACTCATCAATGTATAAGATATTATAACTTGGATAAATGTGAAACGTAAAATATTTCTGGTCTCCAGAGTTACCTAACCTATTACTCCGCTTAATGATAAAACTAACATTAATAACTTGAACTTGTCACAATCGGTGGTTTAATCTACTTAGTGAACAGACATTACTTTTTTAACTTAAAAGTGGCAGAAGCGATTAGTCAATTTTGTAAAAGAATATTATATTATGCAAAAGGATTTCATTCTTTATACACAGTAAAAACGTCGTTAGTTATAGCCGTTATGTTGTCTCTAAACGTGTTGGCATTTTTCTTTCCAAACAAATTAAATTACCAAAAAAAAAAATATTTTGACAATTTACACATCACGTCTGTCGTTGGTAGTAATACAATTCTTATGTAGTTTTATTATAAAATTTTAAGTTTTGTTTATTGGAAAATAAAGTCTGTAAGCTAAACTAGATTCGAATCCACCAAAATCAGCTATTTCACCCCATTTTTGACATAACAAATTCAGCCAAGCCGGGAAGTGACAACAAACTAACCTAGCCATTTTACAAAATAATATATATTATCTTTTATTTCTGTGTCATGACTGTGCCAGGCAAATAATTACGACTCGTCGTAGCATAGGAAAAATGTCAAAATTAATCCTGAGTAACTATCGTCTACGAGATGCAGCTTTAAAGTAATCACTTGGTTAGAAACGCAGTTATTAACCATCATGCCTACTGCATTGTAAACTCGAATGGACCTTTAACAAATACTTTGACATATAGACGTGACCGCTATGAACAATACTATTCTGGGCTTGAAAACCTGCCTTTGTACAATGGCGGAGACAAAATTCCAACACTTTTATATGTGGCTAACAGTAGCGAGTCTTACATAATTACCGCCTTTAAAACATTACTAACCCTGCAATTGCACACGGGACACCGCTTGGCCTTCGACCACACTTTGACTGCGCACTTGTAACAACAACATATATGTGCTATCCGCCCGTGCACGAACACCCCAGACTTCGGCTCCGACACGCAAATTATACACATATTGTCGTCCTTTTCTAACTTATCACTAACTACTATTTCCCTATCAATTTTGTCTTTTAAACCATTGCTAATAACCTTTTTCGTTAACTTAACCGTTTCCTCGATGATCAGCGAAGGATCGCTAACGGTTTTAACTAGAGGGGTGACGGGTTTACTATCGATATCACAATCAGAAGTTTCGGATTCAGTATAGTCTGTTTTTATCCGTTTGTTGTTCCGATCGGCAGATTCCGCCCGGCGTTTTAAATATTGCCTAGATAATAACCGATTTGTTAACCTACTTTCAGATACCGTAGTTTTAACGTTTTGCGAAGAGGAACCTGGTTGGTCGTTTTGGCTAAACTCTTGGCTTTCGACGCCGGAGTCCTGGGAGAGAGTACGCGGCACTTTTGTCTCCAAAGTAGGAGTTCGTTTCCGTTTGCGCTTCGGTCTCGGCGGGAAGAAGTTTTTACGTACCTAGAATGCATAGTTGGACACTTTAGTAACATAACAGCAAATTTCGGACGACACAAAATATTCTATATAATACATATAAGAAAACTTCTATGTATAAATTCATGTTAAGTAGATTGGAACAATTCGAAATAAGAATTCAATAAAAAAAGAAAATGAAATAATGTATTTTAGAACCATTGACTTACAACTATATGGACGTCGGGTCCGCGCTAAAAAGTGTCCGAACTTATAGGGCGTTAAAATCGTATACGGAGCGTCATTCACGCTCTAGTCTTCGTTTGTTCGACTGACAGAGAAGCAAGCAAAATTAGACAGTACTGCGATGACATTACAATTTAAATTCACCGTTTTAGCTTTTTCATATTCCTTGACATGTCACTACGTTTAAATAGGTTGACTTGGGACATTTTTTTCGTGGTTTTTGTATTAGACACGTCGTCCATTTATATGTAAGTCAATGTTTAGAAAGGTAAATTTTGTGTCATCCGTTTACAGTATAGAGGACATAATACATATATATATATAATTAATATATTGCACCCTCAAGAATAAAGTGAGAAAATCCGAAAACTAGTTTTTAAAAGACTGACACAATACATTTAAAAAAACGTACATGGTACCAGTCATAATATGCCATTTGCCTGGTATCAAACATGACTAAATTATATTTGAGGGTAAAATTGATAAAACGATTGATTTTTTATTTAAAATTTTTCAATTTCGGAACTTTTTATTGATTTTGCGACATGTATTTATCTAGAGTACATATATACAAATTTATATCAAATATTTTCCTGTTCACAAAGGCGTAGTTTCGATAAGTGCTGGATTATATCATTGATAAAAATGTTGTGTGACATGTTTATTCCTCTGCAGGTGTTTACATTAAAAATTCGAATATCAACAGTATAGTTTTAAGTCTATTTAGTAATCGGATTCTCGTTTACATTTACGTTCGCGGTAAGTTCTTGTTTATTCTACAATGACCAGAGATCAGAATAGGCAAGAGTATTATACACCTGAACTTTAAGCAATACACAAAAAGCTGATATTACTGCTCTCGAAATGAAAAAAGTACAACTAACATTTTTTCAAAATTGAGTTATATACATATTCGGAATCAGGACACAAAGACTAATCGACCGAATTCTTTTTTGTAGTTATTTATCTCAATAATTGTTGGATTTACAGTAAGCTCAAAACTGATATCATTAATCATAATAAATCATATTTTCTTCCATAAAAAAAAGCCATATTTGACGTTTATTAAGTAAAAACTCTAAAACCAAAGGATTTTACTTACTTAGTTCTTTCAATTACAAAAATTACATATATAAAATATAAAGAACAGGATACAATACAATAATTCCATGATTTAGAAGACGGTATCCATTCCATTTGTATGACTTCTTTGAAGCTTAGGTAAGTATAGCCTGTTGTTAAGATCTCTGACAATAACTCATGGTGACTGTCAGGATGGCTGGTTGCCTGTGGTGTCTGGCACTGAGTGTATATTCAAGAATTGCTACCTATTTGTACGTTTTCTAAATAATTGCTACCTTTGATATATTCTGAGAAATTAAAAAAACAATTGAAACAACAACAAACAATTCTGATATCAGGATGGCTGGTGGCCGCTTTGTTCAGCTTGAATGGAGCGGATTTTCCAGGAATATGTATTGCTACCTATTTTTGCTACTTTCACGAATTAAAGGTATGAGCTTCTTATTTACATTAGTTTAAAAAATTTAACACCTATTGAAAATTTTACGAATAAGTAAAGCACTAAAAACTTTTAAAAATTTTGAAAAAATTTTAAAAAATTTGTAAAATGTTCAATCGGTTATGTAGATAAAAAGCTTACGTCTTTAATTCGCGAAACTAGCAAATAGGTAGCAATTATTCGTAATACATATTGTACATGGACGGGTGACGGGGGCGGCATCGACAAGCTGCTTGCGGTAAGAAAGAACGGAATAAAGTCGCAAAGTCAAGCGTGATGTGGTCTTGACTGTACAATAAATAGATTTCCTGTTTTATGCTTAATTGTATGAATTTGTTACATTTTCCTTAACAATGTTCAACGTTTTTAAAGTGCGTGCGTACGTACTTAAGGGAGATTTTAAGAGTGCGTTCAGGGAAGTACTGCCACCTTACCACTTTCTGCCGCCAAGCAGTAATGTGAGCATTACTGCGTTCCGGTTTAGAAGAGTGCTGGTGCAATTACAGGCACATATCAACCTATGTCGTAGGGCGAAGGGCGCAGTGTCAGTGCCCATAACTAAATAGTGCAACTGTCATGGATAAGCGTGTCGCTCACCACCAGGCGCACGACTTGTTCATCCCGTCACTTGGAATTATTAAAAAAAGGTAGGAAATGGTTACTCACCTGTAATATTTCCCACTGTAGCGGAAGTGCACGTTATTGCTCTTTGCAAGGCATTGCGTAGTTCCACTATAACCTAAGCGTTGTCAGGCGCCAATAGTGGAAAGTAGCGAGTTAATATCTCACCTTGAAGCATTTCTCGCAGTAGCGGTAGAGGGGGTTGTTGTTCTTCGCAAGGCACTGGGCGCAGCTCCAGTAGTCACACAGGTCCACCTCACTATCCATCTCCTCCGAGTCTGTCTGCTCCGAGTCCGCGAACTGCAGATCTCCGTCATCCCCCACCGACACCTCGACTACCTTCGTCGATATTATTTCGTTCTGGAATCGATTTAAATATATAATCAGTAACAGGATTTTAGAACTTATACTTGATTCTTCTCCTGTAGGCGACGCCCTTGATATCGAGTTGTAGGCCGAGACTCGGTTATCTTCCCTCTAAGTCGTTGTAGTGTTTAACATGATCAAATATGAACCGTTTCGAGGTTAATGTAAATAAATAAATAATAGTATTTTCTGTTCATTGCAGTAGGAAAGAAAGTTTTAATATTTTTTTCATCACACTTGCTCGTAAATAGTACGATTGCATGGTGGTTAAATTGACTACTACAATACCCCAAATAAAACCCTCGGGCGTTTTTTCTTTCCATTACAGCCATGGTCGGTAAGGAGTTTTATTTGTAGCACGACAGACTTCTTTACATACGTCAGGTTCCAGTTCAAGTAAGGAGGTTACTTAAGTTCAAAATTAAAATATTCGCCTAGAATGTTATCTAAACAGAAATTTAATTGCAATTCAGACACGTACTACTGATATACTCATTATTAACAATTTCTTATAATTGATTTTAATTACTTTCTGTAAAAAAAATTAGCAATTTTTGTTTGCAATCCATCATGGCTATATGCGTCTTTGATTTTTACAACATTTTAGTTCGTGTTGTATTATCTACGAAAGAATAGCTGGCTGACCATCTGTTGATTAAAAAAATACCCGTCTATTACAAAATCCATAATTGTAGTTGTGAACCATATTTATTCATACAAGAAATAAACATTGCATTTATTTCCTCGCAAATGTAATGAAAAACATTGTATGTTATGTATCACAGACAGTAAAACTAATATTGTTATCGACAATTAGGCGTATAGTTAGTATAGAGTTGCAGGAATTGGAGAGGCTGTGGGTTATATTTTTTTAAACATTTTTGACGTAATTCCACTTACGCCATTCTTTCATGGGAGGTGTGAAATGATTAAATAAAAAATAATTAAATTTTAATATGACTAATTAATTTATGTGAAGTAAAAAGAGATTTGCCAAGAAAGTGCCAAGTGGCGATAGAACAAAGGCAGACTTACTCCAATAACAATATAAAGGCATGTGAACATGAATTGATCCGACTCACATCGCTTTGTCCGGACGAGTCTCCCGACACTGGCGGCGGCTGGTCATCTTCCGCGTCCGTGACTGGCTCGTACTCCTCATCTTCACTAAACGGCTCGGTGTCGCTCGTGTCGCATACTATATCTATAAACACACTCAACTTGAGCAAGATGTCCATTTTCTTTTCAAAATTTCGCCCTCACCCGCACAGCTCACCCTTCGATGTTTTATCCTCACCCACTTTCGATGTCCTCTGCGTTACGACTTCCAAAGATGAAAATGATAAATATCTTTTACGTTTTTCAATATTCTTTTTTTTTCTATAGGCTTTTTTTTTCAGTTTTCAGTTTTAGTTTTTTTAATATTTTATGGTCTTTTTTTCTCCCTTTTTTCTTTTCTTTAATACTTCATATCATTTTCAAACTTTTTTCGTCACACTTTTTCTTAATTAATTTTTTTTTTGTTTCGTTTGTATTTTTTTGTATTCTTTTATAATCTTTTCAAATGTTTTTGTTTGTTTAGTTCTTTTCAACCACACACACACACACACAAATGTTTTAATTACACAAAAACAGCGTGCAAAATTATAGTTAGGTCTTAGAATAAAAAAGTTTAATCGCTTAGTGGGATGCTAATAAGGCCAAACACAAACACATAAAAAATCATATACGTGAATGAAATTTAAAAAAATCAAGATAATCTAGTACAAATTCATAATAGGCGCCCATAAAGAGATTAAAATATATTTTCATAAAATAATCATATACAATAAAACAACTCAAAGCTTATTAAAGAATACAACAAGGGATTCGAACCCACGCGTCTAACATAGAAGACAATATAAACAAATCTAAACTAAGTTTAATACTGTAACCTTACCAAATACAGTCACTAATCTAATTCTAACTAACAACTACACACAAGTACAGACTTATAAAAATAGTATAATAATATGATGGATGACACTTCAATGCTATACTATATTTTATGCATGCTTAGTCAATGAGTGTACCACATTGAAGATCAATTTCAATGAGTGGTTATTCCAAGCTTCTTTTCTTCAAGCATTTGATTAAACGAAATGATGTTTGGAGAATTAATATCTATACGTATGTAACTACGAAATGGAAATGTTGATTTTCGTATTCAATAATTCTTGGCAAAACAAGTCTCCTGTCCGGTTTTAAAAGAAGCTTGTATTATAATTTTCGCAAGCTACTCGTACTGCCAATGAGTTATGTACCAGTGCACTCTCTTTAAAAACTAAGAATCAGCTATGCAGCCGATTTATATCAGCTTCGTGTACTTGGTAAAATTTTAAGTGAAAAAAAACCTTACTATTGTTTCTATTGAATTATATCGAAAGAGCAAGGGGCTTGTTACAATTTGGTAAAATAAAATGCGCGTAGTGAATTACAAAAGTAAATGCGACACGGAAGGTCCGACACGAACATACCCCGCACGCTAATTAACGCCTAATGTGGTCCAATCCAATAGGCGCCGTACACACAATTCAAACCATTAATAATATTTAACTACTGAAGGAGTAGAGGGAAAAATCTTAATATCGCGTATTAGAAATAGTATTGAAAGTGATCAATGCCATCTACCGGCGTTGTGTCGAACTAACACTGCACAACAATACTATTTATTGTTAGAGAATTTTTAAAGAACGCCTGATCCAGGCTAGACGAAAAGCATCAAGTAACCCTAGCTAATTCAATTTCTTTTATAAAATATAATACGCTTTTGAAAAAAAAAAAACTTATGAAAATGTTATTAGAATCTCAGAACAACCACAATATCTTAAACAAGGAAATTATGTTAAAAATAATTGCGATGGTCTTCAGGTGAATCCCGCAGTGGGCACCGCCGTCCGTCAGGATATAGTGCTCTCACATACACCTGACAATGTTACCAACATCGTTAATACTAATTTTATTTATTGAAAAACTTGTTTAAAGTTCAAAACGAATAAGGGAAAAGTAGGATAACATGTTATACAGTTAACCTTTTAAAATTCATCAGCAAAGGTAAAAATCTAATTAGTAATATTGCGAATCTAATTAGTAATCTGGACATTGGAATAGACAGAATGTATTTACCAAAACTTCAAGTAATATACATCATAGAGTAGACAGTGCCTCCCTCAGAAATTGTTACATATCGGAAATGGAAACTATTTTCAGTCAGCCGCGATCACGGGATTGGTTGAAAAAAAATACGCCATGTAAATTCGAAAAAATTGGCTCATTTCTAAAAAAGAATATAACAAATAAATTAGTTTTGATTTGTCAACTTTTATTTTTTGATAATTACAGGATTTAAGTGGGAGTTATTATCCTATCCAACTGTATTACTCAAAGTTAAACTAAATACACTCTACCCATTCCGTTCTCAGGAGGAAAATCACAAAAGTTATATTTAACCACGAGTTATACTCCGGACTTGAACCAGAGGATCCTACTATTGGTTACGCAGTCGGGATGTTTTTATAAAAACAAGACAAGTTGTGACACGAACTACAGTGCATAACTACCAAGAAATTATGACATCACGAGATAACCGACCGGTTCTTTGAAAAATGTACAAATGGAAAGCTCAGGGGAACCCCGCCATGTAAAAAAAAAATTGTATAGAAAATCCTGTTAGGGCAAGACAGAGTTCAAACCCGTTACATAAACTAAATAATACAATGTTTTAGTTATAGACTGTGAAAATAATCATATTGAGTAGATACTTAACGTAAACACTATGTTTATCGATATATACATGAATACGATCTTATATATCACACGTACACATATAATGATACAAGCTCTCTATATCTTTTATGTACAAAACAATACATATAGACCGCGGTGGGTAGATAATGAAAAACACGTTTGTACAAGTCTATAGTGACGCGTTGAGTCATCGTACTAAACGAATTGCTAAGTGCTTGACTGCGCCTGCGTCAGCCACCGATACTTAGACAACAAAAAAGTGGAATGACTGTTCAGTCTCACTTAGAGGAATTTTGGACCATTATCTTTCAAGAATATCAAAAACATAGCAATAATTTCTAATTTTAAACCGTCTGGGTAGAGGAGACCCGTGCCCGGCAGTGCGACGTGTGTAGGTTGATTTCATACAATGCACAGAAAGTATAATTTCCCATAATGTATGTATCCTTAATGCAATCTTAGAATGATATTGCTTGGCCACGTTTTTTACGATAGGACAAATTTAAACGGACGTTATTACATACATAATAGAAGTAACTAGAGAAAATGTTGCCATGAAGGAAATTTTACCGTTTTAGTGCGAGTGAGTGTAGTCAACAATCTATGGCAACTCATAAAGTGTATAATTATTTTTTATTATTTTGTCATCTAGTCACATTTTACAATTATTATCATTAAAATTGACCCAAATAACTATCACCGCGTTTAAATTACTAACCGACCTACTAAATCCATATATGCACGCTCATGTGATATTAAATATTTAAAAAAACAGTTACTTCAAGTAAATAAATAAATATTAGACAATATTATTTATATACGTTGCTCTGATCCCAAATTAAGTAAGTAAAGCACTTAGTCTTGTGTTAAAAGCAACAAGACACGAGACAAACAGGAACGTTTTTCTATGTAGACCCAGGCGGGGATCGAACCTGGGACCTCATAGACGGTTACAACATGAAAATGCATGTGAATTAATGTATAATATACCTTCAATATTTTTGTACGTCTAATGTTTGGCCGGATACAGTAAAACTAACTTGTTTTTAACCCACTTAAAAAAAGGAGGTCCTCAATTCGACAGTATATTTTTTTCACGTAAGTTACTCGATAGCTCTTTTTTAATGAACCGATTTGATGATTCTTTTTTTGGTTGCAAAGAGGGTACCTCAGTATTGGTCACATTCGAATTTGAAAAAATATTCCACCTCTAAGGATTGCAAGCTATGGGATGAACCCGGTTTCGCGCACTTTCCGGTAACCGATTTCAGTGGAACTTGGCAAATAGATGTAATTCCACGAATTTTTGAGGTTGGTTTTTTAGTACTCTGTACGGAGATTGTGTTATACATATGTCAACTTCTGTACAACCTGTTTTAACAAATAAATATATTATGAATGAACCTAACTATAGTAGTCCGGGAATTACATCATCGTTATTTACGTATCTACGACATATCATGAATGTTGAATTAAATCCACATAGACAAAAGAAATACACATAGAGTAGACAATATCTCCATCTTCATTCCCGGAATATAGTATTGTATTTTGTTCTTTATATTTGATATATTATTGAGAATTAACAAACTACAGTATTTAGCAGAATTCTTCTGTAATTACTGTTTGTTTTGATTTCTTGCTTTTTATTTTTAATCATTTCGACACCTCAAAGCGAGGTTTTATCTAGTATATATGTATTACTTGAAATTAAGATAAATGTACTTTGCCCATTTCGATTTCTGTTTATAAGAAACGCGAATTTGTAATGGCACAAAACAGCTTACGCGGAATCCACCGTAGCGAAGTTTTATACTCCGTAAAATTTAGCTCCAATAGAATGGCAAGTTAGCAAAATTTTGACGGACATTTGAAGCAGCGTCCTACAAATTACGTATTTTTTTAGACACGGCAAAACAATAATTATTTTACATATTTCATAAACGTACGATCATTGAAACCCAGAAATAATTGATTTTATGACTTTTGGAGTTAATTTACATTAAGAAATATTACATTAATGTTCCTTTTAACAAGTTGACGGGGTGAAGTTACGTCAGGAGGAAAAAAATTGTGATGGGACACATATGTATGTAATAGTCTATCAACTCGTCCAGTCGAGAAACACTTTGGCTGTAATTTTTTAAATATTACGTGAACGTTTTAATTTTTTTAATTACTCGCGTTGTTTTGTGCTATGTTGTGTTTTTATTTAAGTTTTTAGTCAATATATTTTAACATCGATTCTCGATTTTACTGATCGTGTCCCATCATTGGTTCATGAAGTTTGACATGTGTCTTTCTAATTAAGCTAAATTTTACGGAGTTTAACTGAATTTTATTCTTATTAGGACAAATAGGCATAAATGCAATATTTTTTCTCAAATGGGCCTATCAAAATATTGCCTAAGCCATTAAAGCTAGAACAAAAACAAAACATGGTTTTGTAAGAAGCACAGCACGTGATTTAATTTTGCAAAAGTAATTTTTTTAAGGAGGGTTACATCCTTCTGACGCTGTCGGGTAATTATCCCTTAAACTTTAATAAATAAGGTGCTAAATTAATTGAGGAATTCGTATTCGTCAGATTGTTTTTAACCGAAAGTTAAGTTATTGTCAATTATATTTAATTTATGTTGCGGTACCGCACCGTACAGTTTACACACACGTATTCAATATTTATCATGTGTTTTTTAAACTGCTTGTAAAAGGGATATAATGATGTGTAAAGTTATAGAAATAAAGCTTTATTGGCTCGAATACCAAAGAACAAACAACAATTTACTAAGCAAGTAGGGTGTTAGTATACTTGCGAGATATAAAATAACTTCAAATATAAAATAAAAAAACTGATCTTAAGTCATTCATCCCCTAGTTTGCCATCCTTAGAGGTGGAATATTTTCTTCGATAATTTTCTTCCTGTTTCCAACAAAAAAAAAAGAATCATCAAAATAGGTTATCGGATACATACAAAAAAAACACACTGTCAAATTGAGAACTTCCTTTTTTTTGAAGTCGGTTAAAAGGGAAAATAAGGACTTTCCTCTTAAAGAATCTAAAGACAACCCGAAAAATATCTTATTATTTAAGTTTTTGTTATAGAAATCCAAAGAACATACATTTTAACATAATATGATCATTGTTAGTTAGTTTGTTCTACTAAATTTGTATGAGAAGGTAGCTTTAGATGGCAACGAGGTGAGAGAGGGGAGACAATGTAGTTATTTAAAAGATTGTATAAAATGCAAGAATCAATCATTTTCCTTCTATCTATCCTAAGAGGTGTTTATATTCATTCGATTTTCATTTTTTTAAATCAATTTTGTGCGTTTCGTAAAAATTTTGGTTTTCGAATTAGTCATTTTATAATTGAGTGTGCGAAATGTCACTTTGTGATGGTACCAGTGATATATATATATATATTATAAGATGACACTCACAAGGTTGGAATTTTCCAAGTTCATATTACATTGTTACTAACAATGGCTATTGTTTCAAATGAATTGACATAATATTAAATATGTTACATATGGGCTAAATACAATTAGATTGTTATTGTAAGTACTTTACTATAGATAATAGAACTATCGACGTTAATGCAGTATGTAAAATAGATTGTGTAGTATATAAATGATAATTGTTAATAATAATGATATGAAAAAGGGTGATAAGGTAAAAAAAATTTTTTTTTCAGCGATCTTGGCTTAAAGGAGCACTTAGGGTTATCAATTGTAAAATACTAACAACCTCTCAAGCTATAATACTGGCATCGTAAACAATAATTTTGTTCCACGACTTTTTCATAAAACATAATAAGTTTACCAAAAATAAACTTTTAAGTTTTTGTTGTACTATCTGATAATTTTTAACCGATTTCGAGAAAAGGAGGAGGTTTTAAATTCGACTGTATTTTTTTGTTTTAGTATGTATGTTACGCGATAACTCTTATTTGTGAAATGATTTTGATGATTTTTTTTTCTTGAAAGAGGGTACCTCAGTATTGGTCCCATTTAAATATTGAAGAAAATATTCCACCTTTAAGGGTGGCAAACTAGGGGATGAATCCGGTTTCACGCACTTCCCGGTAACCAATTTCAAAAAACTTGGCAAATAGACGTAATTCCACGAATGCTTGAGGTAGGTTTTTTTTATAAAAATTTATAATTATACCTATATCCCTCTCCAACGGTCGCCACTTGCGGTTCAGCGTTTTGCACTATTTCAATCTATTTATTCTTGTATGAAACTAACATCGAATTATCAAGTGGTGGAACAGAAGTTGTTTATGATGCTAGTAATGGTCACGAGGTTGTTAGTAATTTAAAAATAAATATTAATCTGTTGGGCCACAGAAACTGTCAATATGTTTTATTCTTTACATAAAACGGGGATATTCAATATACTTTCAGTTTCTGACTGTGCTTTACATAAGAATTTATCTACTTGGTTAATATGATAATACATATTTTAACATACATAAATTGGAAACATTGTCTATTAAATACAATAAACTAACAGTTTGTCTATACAACAGTAGAAATTGTTCTCATGGTAAAATGCCAAAATTTCTTAACAGCTTCCATTTACCACAAAAAGCATGCAATCAAGCTACATAATAAAGAGAAAGTTTTTATTTCTTTGGAACAATGCATTAAATAAAAACGAATTGAGAGAAAGATCAAAAGATTGAAGTTATTTCTAGTATGTTGTTATGATTTTTTTTAAAGATAGGCAGTGTGGGTTGGCTATTTATTTTTTTAATCCAATGATGGTATTACTGTACTCTAATTATAAATACAGAAGACAATGACCAAAAAAGCAGCACCTTGTATATACAAAAACAAGCAATTTATTGAGAATAAATTTCCATTTATTTCTAAATGTACCTGTCTCTTTGCCCTGTATACTGAGGATGCTCTCGACTGAACAGCGTCGGCTCCACGATGGTTCTGCAAATTGACAAATTTAACTAAAAACTATTTTTATTTTTAATCATTAAAATCATATTAATATTTTTTTCATTTGTAACATAGGCACACCTTGATGATTATTGTAAGCTAAAAATTTTATTGTAAAAAAATTAAAAGGTGCCCAGTACTGGCACCTTAGCTATATCTGCCCCCAAGCAGTAATGTGACTATTAGTGCATTCCTGTTTTGAAGTGTAAGGGTACTGGTGAAATTACAGGCACATGGGACTTGTTAACTCATGTCTCAGGGTGACGGGCGTAGTGGCAGTGCCCCTAAGGTCTTTGCGATTTAAAGCTCTGAGTGGCACTGCATCAGTTATGGATAGGCTTGTCGCTTACCATCAGTCACAAGGTATTATAAAAAAATTGGAGTCTCATTGGCAGAGAGCACCCACTAGTGTTTTGTCACATGATAGACCAGTAGGTTGAACAAATCAAGGGTCAAATGATCACTAGCATGCAACCATTTGACCAACCGTTGAACCAACAGCTGACAGTGAGACTACCTACACACTGGTCCCGCTTTCTCTAGTGAACATCCTCAAAACATGTTTTCTTTTATTTTAAATCTCATGATTGAAATAAGTACTTACATTTTTATTTACAATTACAAAACTTTTCTTCTATAATTATGGTTCCATGTTTACATGGAATTCAGATTTCAGAGGGGAGTACTATCTACTTTGTGTATTAGTTCTTTGAAGTTAAATATTACTAAGATCTCTTCAAAAGATAAAGGAAAACATCACGACTGTTATATCAACCCGCATTAAAATTATACCATGGATCTGTTCCATAAATAATCAAAAACCATTTGTAGATGGAGCCACAACAAAAAAATTATGATAATATTCATAAAGTAAACGGACATAATATCTATTGACTGCTATGTTTGCTAATGCTATACTAAATACAATAAAGTTAGAATTTTTAGTGACAAACTCATTACAAACTTGCTTTTGTACCTTGAATATTAGCTCTGTCTGTCTGAGAAAAACCTTATGCTATTTAAAAAACAATTAAACAACTTATTGTCTAATAAAATATACTAACAAAATTAGTTTTAAATGACAAATACCTAACTAAATGTAATTTTTGTAATATGTATATTTATTCGTATGTTATTAAAATTATTACTTGGACATATAGTGTCATTTTACAATTATTATTAGAATTGACCCAAATAACTATCACCGTGTTCAAATGTGTGCACACCCTAATGATATTATTTAAAAAAAACATGTTACATTTAGTTTAGTCTGTCTGTAAATAAATATACCTTCGTCACGTTTGGGTGCCTAATGTTTGATCGGACACAGTGAGACTATAGGTACTTATTACATATCAACACCGACAAGTATACAGCCTGAGTTTTCATAAATAAATTAATATGTATATGAATCAATACATGCAAAAACAAAAAAGCTGTTGATCTGCCTCTTCAAACACCTAACTTGAGCAGAAATATAAAGAATTGTGTAAATAAACAAACAACATCAGACTGAAAAGTCATTTTATTTCTGTACTACAATGTTGAAAAATTTTCTGTTTCTTGTGATACATAAAAGCTAAAAAACATTCAAATAATATGCATATAATATATACTCAAAATGCTTATAACTATGTCAATTTTAAATATCTGAATGAACCAAAATTCCACAAACAAACAGGTCCATAGTTCAAAAACAAGTTGTTCCGCACATAAAATTGTCAATTCACTGATACAACTCACTCTACGCCCCAAATATCATGTTTTCTACTAAGTACTACCGATTGGTAATTCCTTTAGTTCCTATTAATCCATCTGTCCTTGGTTACCGCGCTTTCTACTACCTCATTGTAATGTAATAACATCTAACCTAAAAATTGTAAATTCAATTCATAAAAGCATTCTGCAAAGTTTCCACGAGAAAAAGTGACGCCACCAGTTTTTTACAACTTATTTGTACTTTTGGCCTTCGCGATCAACTCCTTACTATGAAACGCTTACGTACAAAGTACATACCTACGACAAACGTATAACTGGTAATCGTCGACTGCATTCCACATTTTGGTAATAAACACAACCACTCAGGATCATAAAATTACGAACAATAAGTGACGGAGTGCAATAACTAAATCCACTGCTACATACCTGAAGAATATTGAACGGCACTACTTGTATTCATATTCTGTAATTTCCTTGATACAAAAATTTGCTTGGCGCTATGTAATGTATGGTATTGTCTGCTGCCAGCGCCAATTTCGTTTGATTGGGTTCGTTCACTGGTTCAAACTCGTTTTGGTGTGACCAGATTATATCGTAAACATTATCAGTCATCATGACAGTTGGACATGCAGGAAATGAGGTGTAACGTAAATACGTCGTTATCGTCAAACTTATAAGTTACAACTATTTTTTAAAATAAAATAAACGGGAAAAAGTAGCTGTTGTCGGTTGTATTTTTAATTTTACTAAACTTGGATTTACTGACTTACGTCATCTGTCAAGATAATTTATAATATGGCAACTTTTTGAACACGAAATACCGAATACCAACTTTACACATCAAATCATGAAATTGAATGTAATGTAACCCTATTAAATTAAATCTATAGTGCCATGGTTTTTGAAGTATTGATTATTGTGTCATTGCAATTGAATAGGATTACTATCCGAAAGATTATAACACCGAAAAGGATTGACATTTAAACTGGGTGAAGCTTCATAAAGAAACGGTTAACATAATTTTGTAGAATTATAATTTATCTGCGTTTTGTTGGTAGCCCTAGTAGTAGCTGACACTTCCTTTTCCTTGTGGCATGGTGTCGGCGTAAGGTGAGTTTACCAATTTTGTGCAATAATCATAATTTAACTTCGTAATATCCGAGTAATTCGTGATTTTATCGGCCCCGTATGAATTATTTGCTATTATATTCATTAATCAGTGTTTGAATATTTTATAAACTTGTGAGATATCCAAAAACATTCACACACGTGTACTTACATGGTGAAAACTTAAACATGTGAAAATTACAAAATCCACATCAAAGCTTAGTCGGTGATTGCTATTATCGTGCTGCATAATAGCGAAGAAAGTAGGAGAAAGGAATAAAAACCGGCACGAGTTTATTTTGGTATCGATCGACGAGGTTATGTACGAGCAAGACAATTGGTGCGTTGGTAAGCAGTTGCCGCTACTAAGCCGATAATTTTGTTGTAGTTGCCGAATTAGCAACAACAATGCCGCAGAACGAGTACATTGAACGTCATCAAAAGCTTTACGGTAGGAGACTTGACTATGAGGAGCGCAAGAGAAAACGCGAGGCGCGCGAGCCGCACAAACGCGCTGAGAAGGCTCGAAAATTACGTGGTATTAAGGCTAAAATCTTCAACAAGGAGCGCCGCAATGAAAAAATTCAGATGAAAAAGAAAATCAAAGCACACGAGGAAAGAAATGTCAAACAAAACACAGAAAAGGTTTCCGAAGGAGCTGTGCCCGTATATCTTCTCGACAGAGATGTACAATCACGCGCTAAAGTACTATCGAACATGATCAAACAGAAACGGAAGGAAAAAGCCGGTAAATGGGACGTACCAATACCAAAAGTTAGAGCACAGGCTGATGCGGAAGTCTTTAAGGTTCTCAAGTCTGGTAAATCAAAGCGCAAAGCATGGAAACGTATGGTCACTAAAGTCACATTTGTAGGAGAGAACTTTACACGAAAGCCTCCAAAGTTTGAAAGATTCATTAGACCCATGGCACTACGGTTTAAGAAGGCACATGTGACACATCCAGAATTAAAAGCTACATTCTGTTTACCAATTATTGGAGTAAAGAAAAACCCTAGTTCTCAGATGTATACGAGTCTGGGGGTCATTACCAAGGGTACTGTTATCGAAGTGAATATATCTGAGCTCGGATTGGTGACACAAGCTGGGAAAGTTGTATGGGGAAAGTATGCTCAAGTAACGAACAACCCGGAGAACGATGGCTGCATTAATGCTGTACTTTTGGTTTAAATTTATTACTGCTGTATTGTTTAATGATGATGTATAATAAAACCTGTTGCAAATCTGTAATGTTTTATTTTTTGTTTTTACTGCTTTAAGTTGATTTTTTTGATTATTAAGTGTCTAAATGAAATTTGCCTTTTGTTAACTGTACCGTTTTTACTAAATCTGCAAATGTCAATTAAAATGTAACTTGATGACAAAATAAAATAACAAAACATAATTCTTCAAATAAGTTCATGAATTTGTGTTGAAAAGTATTGCTTTAACAGCATTGTAAATTATTAGCAATGATTGGGATTAAGGAAGTGAATCAAATCGCACTGCTATTACAATAGTGTTATAACTCAAAATATGTGTAATTCAAGATTATACCATTGTTGAACGTAAAATTTGATTCTCTACACGTCAATAAAACTGTCGTTGGAATATTGTAAAAAACAACTAAAAGATGTCTATTTAACTACCTACTTTATGTGAGCTAGTTCTGGCCAAAATAGTCCTTATTAAAAAATATGACATTATTTTTTCTTTTTTCTTTTTAAATATGTATATTTGGCAAGTAGGAAATAACCTGTACATAAATTTACACAGATCTTTCAAGGGAAGCGAGTAATTCGTTTTTCGACGATTCTGAGAAAATACACTTTTTTAGTTATTACACTATTGTATTAACAGTGCGAAGTGTCTCAAAAAAGAATATTTTAGTTTTTCTATTTGTACTTAAGTATTTAAATACTTTTGCCATTTAAAAAATAAACATGAGGCAACCTATGTTTTGGAATGATTAGAAGAAAAATAACAGTAAAAAAAAAAAGAAATTTTATATGCATTGATGACGAAATGAATATATGTATAATAAGAAAATGTTGTGTAAATTAGCTCCCACATTTCCGATCACTGATTTTATTGTTTAGCTAATATTTACAACATTATGTAGTCGTAACTCACCGGCAACTAATTCCTCCATCAACTTAGCTTCGAACAACACTAACGCCGACTGTGAGTGAAAAACATAAATAAGTGTTTTTGTTTGAGTATATCAGTTTATAAGATAAATCCTTGTAATACTCGTGGTCGCATCTAGTTGTAACAAGTTTTGAAGCTTACTTCCTATTTGCATAACTTTCTACACATTAATACCACAGTACATGAATCAAAATGTTAGTCATCATATCGAGTTGTAACAAGTTAAAATCCAACTTCCTACTTGCATACCCTTGTGCAAGTGAATCATGAGTCAGCTGAATATTTTGTCATTCTATCTGATCCTTTGCTACCTTGAAAATTAGCTTATCAATAATGATAGTTTCTACAAGTATTTATTCAGATTATTCTATCGTAATGGCCGCAATAATGAATTATTTAAAAAAATAAGCTTTCTCGTCTGGTAGTTTGTTTAAAAACAGTTTGTTTCGTGCAGAGGCACCAAGATGCAGATCTTCGTGAAAACCCTCACGGGCAAGACCATCACCCTCGAGGTCGAGCCTTCGGATACTATCGAAAATGTCAAAGCCAAGATCCAGGACAAGGAGGGAATCCCTCCTGATCAGCAGAGGTGAGGAGGAAACATTACTTATTAATTGCGTTTGTTTTGCCTAATTAAGGAACATTTGTGAACAATTAATAATAAATTAATATTAGATTAAATCAAATCCCAAAATATGTAACAAAAGCCTGTTATAGAAGGCAATATAGAAAATGTAAGTTTCTACATTGACCCGGCCGGGGATCGAACCTGGTACCTCCGAGATGGCGACACCATGAAAATCGGTGTGCGAGCCACTCGACCATGGAGGACGTCAATAAAAAACAGTACGCATAGAAGGAACTTTCCATGAACGCTTTGTAAGTATGTGGAAGTTGTACTGTAGTTACTTGTGTGGTAATAAGAGGAGCCAATGAAACAAAAGTATTTATTACCTCCAATTTTAATACATGACCATCATCAGAATAATGTTTTTCCTATTTTGCATTACATTGAACAAACTTGACAATAAACCAATGTTCTTTGTTAGGTTGATCTTCGCTGGCAAACAGCTGGAAGATGGGCGCACGCTCTCGGACTATAACATTCAGAAAGAGTCTACGCTCCACCTGGTGCTGCGTCTCCGCGGTGGCGCTAAAAAACGCAAGAAGAAGAACTACTCCACCCCCAAGAAGATCAAGCACAAGAAGAAGAAGGTCAAACTAGCTGTACTTAGGTTCTACAAGGTGAGCAGATTATGGTTTTTTTTGAAATAACACGCGATTTTTTTTTTATCAGTAAGAGCTCAACACTGTTGCTATCTTTATTAGCGGCCTTACGAAAAAAAACCTAAATTGGCAACATTGAAGTTCGTGTAAGTAAGGTGATTAACACACTACACTGCGCCCCGCGACGGAGCGCAGAGCTGCGTCTTTTGACGTTGTACGGAAGTACCTCAGTTTGTTTGGAAAACACGCGCCGTCCAACATATTGACGACGCTTCTCCCCGGAGGAGGGGCGCGGCGAACCGCAGGGTGTGGCACACTGCGCTCCTTCACATCCTTACGCTAAAAATCTGCGTAAAATTTTTAGCGTAAGACGTGTTCAGTTTTCTACAATGGATCTCGACGTCGATAAATTTATATGTGCTATTGAAAATCGACCAAATTTATCTCATATTTTCTTAAATCTTTGTAATGACGTTGACATGATCCATTTATCGATCTGGTTCGTAAAAAGGGACGTATCCAATATCTTCGGTGTCTTTTATTTGAGTAAACAAAAACAATCGACAGTACAACTGCAGCGTCCTGAATGAGCACTGTATTATTAACCATTCTTGTCAAAGAAGGATCTCAGCTACATGTACAATTACTACGGCGATCAACTACGAAGCGAGTACTTTAAGTGGCGCGTGGCCGCTAGACCGCTGCCCCCGCGCAGATTAAAACGCACGTTGACGATTCGCCGTGCGCGCGTGATTCCGCGTCGCGCGCACCGTCGCGTGGCGCGGTGCAGTGTGTGAATCGCCTAACGTTTTGTCGTAACGCGACATTACGTGTCAATTTATTTTGAACAAGTTCAAACATGTTTTTTCCCAACCATTGCTCTCATGTGGAGTGTATGGATGGATCAACCCTATTCTTAGTGAAGGCAATTTTTTGCAGAGCGTTTTTTCTGTAAATCCTTTCAAATATCATTGCATCATCTCCCCATTTCAAATCCCTCCCGTCAACTTGTTTCTAGTTCGCCATATTGGGTTCACTGAGTCAAGACTGATTTGTATTTCTGAAACTTTAAACTACGCCTTATTACCTACATAACATAAAATTAATATACCTACTTATAATAATCGCGTGTCTACCTTAACTTGACGTTGGCAGAATCATCGATTGCACCGATGGAGCTATGAATAACACTTTAAAGAAGATGAAACATGTTTCGTAAATTATTTTCATTCCAATAGATAAATCGATCGTTTGAATATTTCATTTTGTGATGTGTGGAGACAAACCTCGATACAAAAATCATATTCAAAAGTTAGATTTATAAAACAAACAGCATTTTGAGTCTAAGTAGACGTGCCTGTACCCTGCTTAACCTTACGGCCTTAAAACCCATAAATATACATGTCTTTCTATGTTTATTTTTACAATCTCACACAAGTTGTTCCACAAATAGTCCACTTCTTAAAATCCTGTGAATGCAATAAAAAGAAAATAAAAATATGCCTGTACGTACTCGAACGAGTTGCAACTTGTGCAGTCGAGTATTATATTTGGGGTGACTGTACTGAGAAGGGTTCTAGGGATATTCTTCTTATAAATCCTATTTGATTCTCACTATTTTTTTAAACAAGTTTCAAAACTTTGTCAGCTTATACTGCGTCTTTACTTGAGAGCGATAAAGTATTATAAGAGGTTGTGAACCCAGTGAGTTTGTTGGTTAGACAAGGAAACAAAGTTATGAATGGCTTGTATGGTTAACAAGTTCGTACACGTTTGATCTGATTCTTGCTCCCTAAGAAATGGTTGAATTCTATTAAGATCTCGTTTATGAATGTCTGTTTAACATGTACACATTGAAAACAAATGCTGTTGAAGCTTTGTGTACAGAGATTCATCTGCCTGCTGTTTATTGATAGACTACTAAAGTTGTTTTGAATCCCTTTAGCGAATAAATTGAAATAAAATAAAGAGTCTACACATTGACTTACAATTATATGGACGTCGGGTCCGCGCTAAAAAGTGTCCGAACTTATAGGGCGTTAAAATCGTATACAGAGCGTCATTCACGCTTTAGTCTTCGTTTGTTTGACTGACAACGAAGCAAGCAAAATTAGACAGTACTGCGATGACATTACAATTTAAATTCAACGTTTTAGCTTTTTCATACTTTACATGTCACTACGTTTAAATAGGTTGACTTGGGACATTTTTTTCGTGGTTTTTGCATTAGACCCGTCGTCCATTTATTTGTAAGTCAATGATTCTACCTATTATTCTGGTTTTCGAAGATGAAAATTATGTTCGTGTATTTCATTTGCTCGAAAACGTCCTTAGCGATTTTGAAAGTTTGCAGTTCACT